TTCTTCTCCTTCTTCTCCTTCTCCTTCTTCTCCTTCTTCTCCTTTTCCTCCTCTTCCTCCTCCTCCTCCTCCTTCTCTTCCTCCTCCTCCTCCTTTTTTAAGTGTCTCATGAATGTGAGGTTAGGGGAAGGGAGAATAGTAGGTGGCAAGTGCTTTTGCTGGACAGGAGAGAGACTGTGGAAATAGCTGCTCTGGATCTGAGAGCCATGGTGGATACTTCTAATCCTGTACTTGGGAGAGTAAGGCAGGAGGGTCACTGAGTACAATGCCACACTGTATCGAGACCCTGCCTTAGAAATTTAAGAACAGTGCTCCTGTGGGCAGCACCTAACACTGAAATGGGAATACAGAGAAGGTGAGCATGGCCTCTGCGCATGGGTAGCGTGCAGATTTGTGAGTCTTTCCATATGTTTTTTTAAATTGGATTTATTTTTATGTGTATGGTGCTTTGCCTGCATCTATGTCTGTGTACTACTTGTATGCCTGGTATCTGTGGAGGCCAGAAGAAGGGGTAGGTTCCCTTGGGACTGAAGTTGCACAGTTGTGAGCCGCCATGTGGGTGCTGGGAATTGAACCTAAGTCCTCTGCTAGAGGGTCCAGTGCTCTTAATCAGGGAGCACCTCTTCAGGCTCTGTGTTGTATACTTTTATGACATGAAAGAAAGAGATGGGGCAGGAAGGTTATAAGGGGATGGGAGACAGGGGAGTTGGGAACATGAGGGAGAGGAGGACCTTCTAAAACATACTTTGTTTCCAATTTCATAATTATCTCTAACCCTTTTTATGCTAATTAAAAAATTAGAACAGCAGCGGCAACAACAAGAAAACCCCAAAAGAAACAAGACGAGTAGCTGCTCCTCTTGTATAGTGAGGACTTGTGAGGAACTCTTAGACTTGGAGTCTGGATGGTTTAAATTTTTTTTCCCCCCAAATTTGTTATTAGTGTATATGGATCATTTGTGTATGTATGAATGATAGATGTGTGTAGACACACATGCCATTGTGTAGGTAGGATAACTTTGTGGGATCAATTCTTCCCTTCCATTGTTATATAGGTTCTAGGGATCAAGCCTAGGCCTTACCTGTTGGGCCATCTTGCCAGCCCCAGGTTTCTTAAGTTTATCAAACAGACTTAAAAGTCCATGAATGTAGCCTAGTGCCATTACTCAGGACCAAACATTGATTTGCTGCTGAGGCAGGTGGGTTTGTATGGGCTAAAGGGGTTGGAGAAGAGAAGGGCAGGTGAGAAAGAGCCTGTGATCTGAGCCTGAGATCAGGGCGGTGCAGGTGTGGGCAGTGATGATTCTGAGGGTCAGGAGAAGGGGGGTGACTGTGAGGGAGACCTCTAGAATAGAGTCTAGCGTGAGGATATGTCTGTCAGTTTGAGTGTTGAACAAACACGATTGAGCATTGAAATCAGGTTGAGGAGGTAGAGATGATGGAGGGGCTGGAGGCCGGCCACCATTGGGCTTTGCTGGTTATGTAGATACTGGCATCTAGTGGCTAGAGGGCAGGGCTGCTGCATTACATCCTAAGAGGCCCAGGCCCAGGCCCACAGGGAAGGGCTGTCCAGTACTTTGGAGGTTGAAGCTGCACTAACTTACAGAACAGTGATGATTCAAGGCAGTAATTTATGGAATGTCATTTTCTCTTCTTCCATTATGCTGTGTAAGCCTTGCCACATCATCTGGTGACAGCTGTGGAGTCTAGTTACCTGCAGGGCATTGTGTTTGAGAGGCATAGGAACAATAGGTTAACTAGACATACCACTTTTCTTGAAGTTTCTTTTTTTTTACTTTCTTTCATTTTTTAAATTTAAACATTTTTAAAAAGGAATCTTGTTTTGTAGTCTGGACTGGTATTGGACTTGTGATCCTCTTGGCTCAGCCTCCTGAGTGCTGGATTACAGGCACACACCACACCTAGTCTGAAAAGTTTGTTTATAATTTCAAATTAACATGTAAATTCGTTCTTAAAAATATCCCTTCCACACCACACTCTAATTTACAAAGCTGTTGGTCACAGTGACTACCACTTCCAATTTCTGTTGATCCCTTAGAGGTGCCCCATATTAGCAGTTTGCTTTGTTTAGCTGAATGCTTGACCCTTGCCTTCTGCATTCTTTTTCTTTCCCCTTCTTGTTTTTGTTTTGTTTTTTTGAGACAGGATTTCTCTGTGTAACAGCCCTGGCTATCTTGGAACTCTCTTTGTAGACCAGGCTGGGCTCGAACTTACAGAGATCTGCCTCCCGAGTGCTAGGACCAAAGATGTGTGCCACCATACCTGTCAATTTTTTTTTTTTCATTCTTATATGTCATGCTAAGAAGTTTAATACTGAAAATATTTCCCTAGGCTGCAATTTCTGAAGGGGCCTAGGAACTAGCCTTTTCTTCATTTCTCTAGTTATAATGGAACACAGTTGTCACTCAATAAACATTTGTTGTGTAGTAAATGAGATAAATGAATAGAAGAACTGTCAGTGGGGAGTGAAAGAATACCAAGTCCCAGTAAAGGTCTTCAGGCCCTGCAGGCAGGAGGTGTGCTGCTGGGAAGAAACAGCCAAAGCTGGGGTGAGTAGGGTGTCCTAGTGGACACAGCTAAGGGTTGTGCAAGAGATCAAGGAGTCTTTCTCTGTTTTCTTTTCTTTTTGACAGTTTCACTAAGTAGTCCAGGCTGGCCTAGACTTCTGGTAATCCTGCTGCTGTAGCCTCTGAAGTGCTGGACTACAGGCATGAACCACTGAGCCCAAGAAACATGAGAACTTTTTAAGGAATGAGAACACTTTGTTCACCTTTATTCAGTCATCACCCTCAGCTTCTTGCCTCTTGCTTCTCCTCCTCCCTTTCTTTCTTTTTCTTTCTTCTTTTCCTCTTCAGTTTTCTTCCTTTTTTCCTCAAGGTTAAGTATAAGGCAAAGGTTATGAATAAACATCATAAATGCAAAAGTCAGAGCTTCAAAGTCTTCCTCTTGTTGCACATACATAGCATTTATTTAAAGCCAGGTCTGTGAAGTCTTTGGGTGCCTGTGTAGGGGTTGTTAGGCTGTTGATTTATTGTTTTCAGATCCGTTTAAATGCAGGCAGGTGTTTCATCATTTTCCTAGGATCTATGACTTTCACGAGTCTTTCATTTAGATATTGTAAAATTAATAATTATTTATGTGTGTTTGGTGTTTCACATGTGCTTTCATGAAAATTAGCCCTTGTCTTGTGAATGCCTATCTTCTGTGGGACTGTGAGCAGGGGTGTTAATTGCTCCCTGGTCTGCTGAGCACCCAGGTACTTCCTGCCTCACAGTATAGAAGGCAAATTCCTTGCAGGGATGTCTTAACCTTTTGATGTGACATGATGCTGTCACTTACAAAGTTTACACTTGAGAACTGTACAATTGACTTACAAAAAAGGATACAATTTCATGTTTTAGTTGGTTTGTGAGTTTGTGTTGGGCTGTCTACATGTAGGCCTTGGATTGGACTGGCTCAAGCATTGATTATTGTATCAGTTCTAAATTTTTAAAAGGTTAGTTTGTGGCGGGTGGAATGCCTCAATGGCTTAGAGCACTAGCTGGTCTTGAGGACCTGAGTTCAGTTCCCAGCACCCATTTGGTGGCTTACAGTCATCTCTAACTCCAGTTCCAGGGGATCCAGTACCCTTTTCTGATCTCTGGATACCAGGCTCATGAATACACAATGAAGTAAATAAGCCAAAGGAAAAAAAAAAACACACACACACACAAACAAGCAAACAAAAACAACGGCTTTAAAGAAGGTCAATTTGTGCTTTGCCCTTAGATTCTAATTATGACTACCTTGTTATCTTGGCTGAAAACTGAAAAACCTGTAGGAAAAAAATCCTGTTGTTACCATGTGCATACTTGAGTTGAATACCTTTCAGCTAATGGTAATTTCTTCTCACAGACTCTCTTTACCTTTTCAGCCATGAGGGCCTCTCTGAAGCTGGCCTGGGCTGTTTTCATTTGTTGGCTTCCCCAAGTTGCCCTTGAAAATGTGACTAGACATGTTAAAATGATTTCTGTGGCATTGATTCTTCCTGCCTAACTGGAGGAATTTTCTGTGGTCATCAGAAATGCATACGGAAGGAGAAGGGATGAAAGTTCAAGTGGCTCTGACTTTTTAGCTCTGTCACTGGTCCTTTGTCACATGGAGAGATCACCCCTTCTGTACAACTTCCATGATATGGTTGGAAGCTTTTTCCTTCTCCACTGCTGGAGTGTGGCTCACTTCCATCAATTCCTCATTTGTGTAATTTAGATTGAGTCTCTTTGTCTTATTCCTACCCTCATGTGTGAACTAGAACCTGGCCTGTCTGAGGCTTTGCTGTGTGTAAGGTAGTGTGGGAAAGGGATTCCGAGAGGGCTCAGGATTTAGTTGGTAATGGTATGGAAACTCATCCCTTATTCACTATCAGTTGGAGTTGGTGATATATGGTGTAGAGCTATATTTAACATAAAACTGAACTGGAACTTAATAAATAATATTTTGGTGACACTGACTGGGAAAAGAAGAAACAAAAGAGGGGAGAAAGACAAAGAATGTTACCTAATGCAAATAAAAAAATCCTGTGGCTATTTTCTCCCATTTTTCTGGGACAGGGGCTTATGAAGACCAGGCTGGCCTCAAAAGTTCTTAATATAACTGAAGATGACTTTGTACCCCTGACCATCTACTTCTCAGGTGTCGGGATTATAGGCGTACAGCACTGCCATGTCAGGATAACTTTTAGATTCTTCATCTTAGACCCGGTATCCTACATAACTTTGCTTCACCCTGGAAATCGCCTCTTTGGTTTCCTTCCCCTCTGTTTGCCATCCACTGCTTGCAGGACCTCCTTGAATCTCTTTGTTAATGCAAAATGTTTCATAAGATCATGTCATAGTAAATAACATTCGTGAAGAAATAAAATTCTGTAGAGAAAAAAGAAAAAGTAGGAGGAAAGAGTGTGTAGAGTATTTGGTGTCTTGCTTAGAAATAGTGTTACTGATGATAGGTGGTGAGATGAAAGGGGCTTTTCTCTGATTTATTTATTTTGAGATAGCTTGGTTGGCCTGAAACTGGCCATGTAGATTAAACTGGTCTTCCTGAGATGAAATGTGTGCTACCACACCTGGTTTCGTTGGCTTTCAGTAATCTCTCTACATCTCTTCTAAAGGCAGCCTTTCTTCCATTCTCATGATGGTTTGGTTGGTGTCTCCACTTTGGGCCACTTCAATCATGTTACTGTAGTGACTGAAGAATGTTAGACTGACTACCCAAGGAGTGTGGCTCAAACTCATTTGAATTGTAAACCAGAGACTTGGAAGGATTACCATCTGTGTGAAGAGAGCCAGTGGAAGCGATTGCTCCTTAGTTCTCAGGGTCTCATAAACTGGTACCCACCAAGTCACTGTTAGTGTGCA